AACATTAATGTTCCTACAGTTACGATTCCATCGGCAGATGCATTAAATTCTTTCCTACTCCCTACATCAAATAATGTAGCAGGACTTGACGCATTGAGTCAGAACATTCCAACTATTGCAGATATTGAAACTAAATTGGATAATATCGTGACCATTCCTTTTGAACAACTAAGAAAATTGGTTCAATCAACAATGTCAAATTTAACTTTTAATCAAACAGTATTGCCCGTTCCACCTCCAAATAATTTAAAATTTTGTGCTAATGGTTTGGATCTTAGTATTCTTGACCAAATATCACGTGACCTTATAAAAGCCGCGACAATTGGAATAGTTATAATTTTCATAATTGGTCTTATAATGATTACTATTAATGCATTTTACATATGGATTTCCTACAAACGTTTTATAATACACGTTAATCGCACTGTTACCACCTGTCAATTAATAACCGTTAATTCAAGCAGAGAATCAATATTAGATATTATAAAAATCGCCGAACATCCATTGATATCACGATGGATCATCAAAACGTCAAAATTTTTTAAAAGAACTGAAAATCAAAATTTGTATCGATGGTATTGGGATTACATATTATATAAACCAGCACTTATTTGTTTAACAATTGGAATTGCTGGTGTGTTGGGAATATACTTACAAATAGCTATCTTGAATGTAGTTCGGCAAAATTACCATGCGCCAATTCAACAGGCAATAGGTGCATTTGGTGATACTGTACTGAATTTAATGAATTCACAATTGAATAATACATCACAACAATTTGCCAGTGGAAGCAATTCTGTGATATCAACCTTGGAAAATGGGATTAATCAAGATCTATTTGGATGGGTAAACATCACAACCACAACATTGAACAACACTCTTAATACAGCAGTTGATGATATTTCTTCATTTATACAAACTACATTCCAAGGTGTACCAGCATTATCAACAGCAGTTCAACAAATTGTAAATTGTTTGATTATCGTGAAAATAGAAGGAATTCAAGCAGGACTAACTTTTATCAAGGAACATGCTTCTATTGAGTTACCTAAAGTGAATAATAACATATTAATGGTTAGTCCTTTGAGAATGAAAGAAGCAGTAAGTAAAACTACTGATCAACTTGTTGGATCACAGGATGATGCAGCAAATGGGGGTAATGGGGGTGAAATTGGTAAACTTTTTGATAAATATGAAAACAGGCTACGTTCCGAACTTACATTGTTTCTAGTATTGATCGGAGCATATGTAGCAGTAATTTTTATGGGTGCGATTTATGTGTTGTGGTTCATTTATCAACGTAGACGAAGAAATAATATGTTGCTTAAAGAAGAATCACTTAAGAAATCGCACAAAGAGGAATCTATAAAAAATTTTACGTTGACTTCGGAATCATTACAC